AGCTTGTTCTCCACCACTGCGTGCAGGGCAACAAAAGAAGACTGTGGGACTAACAGTAAAAAAAAGTTCAGTCAGATCTTCCAACTTTGTGAGGTCTTTTTTTCGTGAGAAGTTGGAAGTTCGGATTGATCTTTTTTTTTTTTTACCATAGTCCCACAAACTTCTTTTTGTTGCCATGCACACAGAGAACGAAGCTGGAAAGAAGGTTAGTGAAGGAAAGTGGTTGCCCTGGGGTGGAGGTTAGGATTTGGCACTGTGGATGCCATGGGGTGGGATGGGGGTAAGGATTTGTCATCCAGCTCTATTCTCCGTGTGCACGGCAACAAAAAGAAGTTTGTGGGACTATAGTAAAAAAAAAAAAGATCAATCCGAACTTCCAACTTCTCACGAAAAAAAGACCTCACAAAGTTGGAAGATCTGATTGAATTCCCACTCTTCTCTGAATGCAGCTTTTCACTTACAACTTGGATGCTCTTCTATAGCAGCTTAAGCAAAATTGTAACATCAGAAATGTTAGCTGAAATCTTGTCTGAGCTTAGTTTGCCAGATATTAACTTGGAAGATGACAATTATTTCTCCTCCTGTAGCTTTTCTGCCCTATTTCTAATATTAGTTTGTACCTAAAGCCATGCAATTAAGTGTTCCTGAGATCACTATATAGAATAATAGATCTAACACTCCATCGTACTGACTCATGGTCATCTTTCATATTCTTTTCACATACCCCAATTGTCTCTACAGAATTATATACCACAAAGAAACATTCATGCTAGCAAAGATAGGTCATGTTTTGCTTTATTATCCTATCTATTGCACTTGATAGAACTCATTACTGACTTTTTTCTCACTATGCTGGCCTGATACTAGTTAGCTGCTTTTTCTTTGTTTAACATCAGCTCTGAAATTTCCACAAATGTAGTAATGCAATTGCAATTAGAAGGCTTTGGAACTGATTTTTATACTTGTTAGAGACATTAAAGTTGCCTGTCTGCCTGCCACTCTTTCTTTCTTTCTTTCTTTCTTTCTTTCTTTCTTTCTTTCTTTCTTTCTTTCTTTTTCTTTTTTTTCTTTCTTCCATTCACCCCCACACACACACATCCGCCTACCTACCTACCTACATACCTAACTAAACTTTTATTTTTTTTATTCTGATCATTGAAATATTATTGTGATTTCCTTCTGTAATGTGTTTTCTGTTATATAGGGATGAGTGGCCTCTGGCATACATTAAAAACTTGCAGTAATAATCTAAATCAGTGATCCCTAATCTTTCTGGCTCTGTGGCCGAGGGGTGGGGAGAGAGATGGTTTCACGTACACAAATGCAGCTTCATGTGTGGACACTGCTCACCCACCCTTTGCAAAGTCCAATGGATTGGGGACCAGGACCGGGTCATGGATCAGGAGTTAGGGACCCCTGATCTAAAAGATATCAGAAAAACTCTATAGAATGTAAAAAGTACTTCAAATTTATGATTTGAATCCTCTGCAGAGATGGCAAAATAGATATACTTGATAGGGAAAACCCAGCTATTTTGTCAATTACTGGAAACCTTTTATGGATTTCTTGCTGAAAATGGAAAACAATGAACTTATGATTTATGGGTTTAACAATTAGAAAGGGTAGGATATGGCAAGAAGGGAGCCATGCATACTATCCTCTATACAGGATAAAATTTAAATGCATTTATAACTGCTGAAAAGAAGATTAGAAGTTTTTCCTTATATCTCTTCTTTTTTTTCTTTTATGTTTTTTTCTCCTTTTTTAATTATTTATTTTCCTCACTTTTATTTTTTCTTCCAATTCATACAGTTTTAAGAGCTGTGGTTGCACAATGGTTAGAATGCAGTATTGCAGGTTATTTCTGCTGACTGCCAGCAATTCAGCAGTTCAAGTCTCACCGACTCAAGGTTGACTCAGCCTTTCATCCTTAAAAGGTTGATCCCAAAGATGCTTTTCCACAAGGCAACTGGACTTTCTTATTTTCCTTTGAAGACATTTTGCTTCTCATCCAAGAAGCTTCTTCAGCTCTGACTGGATGGTGGGGAATGGAAAGATTTATATTCTTGCAGATAGCTGTTCATTTGCATTTTTTAGTGAGTTGTTAAAGCTACCTGAAGGCTTATCTGTGTCTTCAGGGTCACCTGACTAGTGCAAATGAGAGTGGAGCCTTCTTGGAATTGTTGAAAGGTCTGTGTTGTAGACTGGAGATAGATTTGGATCCCTCTCCCTCTGTTGAGAGAGGGCTGTTCAATTTTGACATAGATGTACACTTTGACCCCTCTTTCAAACCAGCAGTCCTCTCTCTCAAATTGTGGACTTTTCTGTCTTTGAAAGAGTGGCCTTTGTCTTTTAAATGCAGATGGATTGCTGACTCTTGTCCGGATGGGTTTGTTCTCCTATGTTATGCCATATGTTTATGAAGTTGTTGTTTCATTTCCCCAATGTACAGATCTGCACATGGCTCACTGCATTGTACTGCATATACCACATTGCTCAGTTTGTGTCTGGGCATTTTATCCTTAGGATGGACAAGCTTCTGCCTTAATGATTTCTTAAGTTTAAAGAGTGCACGTATGTTATATTGGCTGGATAGATTAGATAGATAGATAGATAGATAGATAGATAGATAGATAGATAGATAGATAGATAGATAGATAGATAGATAGATAAACCTTTGTCATTTTTATTGTGGGCACAACGGCACACATTAAAAAGGAAATTTAATTCCTTGCTCTCAAAGTGTACACATACATAACACACATTTAAACATACCATACACAACATATGTATAGACCTACGCCCTTACATATAAGTAATATATATATATATATATATATATATATATATATATATATATATATATATATATATATATATATATATATATATATTATAAAATTTGGATTGCTAACGAAGAATTAAGGGAGAATGGGATAGCTATTTCGAGTTTCTTAACTCTCTTCAGCCAGACTTACCCTTCTGAGATTCAAGCCTGGACTGTGTGCATGTTAGGCAGCTGTATTAACCTCTAGACCACAGGCTCCTTCTCACTTTGTCAGCTGTATCAGGGAGGGAAGAGACAGGGGGAGGAGATTTACCTTGAGTGTTTCTTGATGCACCTTGTCGGCCCAAATATGGGAGAAAGAAATCTTCTTTCTTTTTCTTTTTTCTTTTGCCTGTATCAGCTCAATCCAGAGCCATCCACAGGCAGCAGTCGCAACTGCGACATCATTTATATTATAAAATTTGTATTGCTAACAAAGAATTAAGGGAGAATGGGATAGCTATTTCGAGTTTCTTAAGATAGATAGATAGATAGATAGATAGATAGATAGATAGATAGATAGATAGATAGATAGATAGATAGATTAAGGTCTTGGCATATTCGGGTCTTTTCCCGTGTAAGATTGAGAGTATCCTGGCGACGTTTCGACGAGGTCCCACTCGTCATCTTCAGGCTGGGGTCTTCTGCTTCGTGCTTGTGCGAGCAAAGTGTGATCGGAGCTGCCGTCTCTCTATAAATATTGGTGTGTGTGTGTGGAGTGCTGACTTAGTTGCTGTAGGTGTGTGTGTGTGTGTGTGTGATATATTAATCACTGTTCATCTTGAATACATAACGGAAGGAGGAAGCTTTAGAGTTCACATGGTTAATACTGTGTAGAACAAAACTGTTACTGAATCTGGATGTTCTGCTTCAGACACCACGGAGCTTCTTCCCAGAAGGTAATAAGGAAAACAGGTTGTGAAGAGGATGTGTCGTGTCCCAGACAATCTTACGGACCCTGCTCAAGCAACACTTATATGCTATGTCCTGGATGGAAGAGAGGGAATTGCCAATGATCTTTTCAGCCATCCTCACCATTCTCTGCATCGCCTTCCTGTCTGAAGCAGAGATGCTTCTAAACCAGACTGTGATGCTCTATACCAGGATGCTCTCAATTATCCCTCTGTAGAAAGTGGTAAGGATAGGGAAAGGAAGATGAGCTTTTCTCATGCAATGCAGAAAATGCAGGCACTGCTGTGCCTGCTTCACCAGTGTCTCGCTATTGAGCGAACAAGCTAGCCTATTTGTTAACTGCACCCCCAGGAATGTAATGCTGGTAGCCATCTCCACAGGTGAATCATTTATGTTGTCTGGGCTGAGGCTGGTTCTGTCACCTAGGGTGCTGTCTTGTAGAAGATTTTTTTCACACAATGAAAAAAATTATTAAGGCCTACTGTGAGATACTTTATAAGGTGGAGTGGTTTCCAAGAGGCAACACAGGAGTATTTAAAAGGGGCTGATCTTCCAAAGGTGCCAGAGAATATGCAACAGATCTTAAATGAGAAGATAACAATGATGGAAATTACAGAGTTAATTAAAAAGCAAAAGAAAGATAAGACTCTGGGGCCTGATGGACTTCCTGCAGACTTTTATGTAGCTTTACAAGATATAATAAGTCCGGTTTTGAAGGAATTGTGCAATGAAATTTTTTCAGAGATAAAAATACCAAATTTGTGGTCTGAAGCCAACATTACCTTGTACCTAAAGAAGACACGGATCTCACACAAATTAAAAACTACAGAACAATATTGTTATTAAACGCGGATTATAAAATTTTTACTTCAATAATGGCAGAAAGAATGAAGAAATGTTTAAATGCATTTATCCATACAGACCAAAATGGTTTTTTGTCTAAAAGACAGATAAAGAATAACTTAAGGATTATTCTAAATGTTTTGGAATATTATGAAAACCATCCAGGAAACAGATGGTACTTATATTTCTTGATGCTCAAAAAGCTTTTGAGAATTTAAACTGGCAATTTATGTTCCAACAATTGATGGAAATGGATTTTGGTAAAAACTTTACAAATGCAATTCAGGCAATTTTAAAAACAAATTTTATTGGTTTTTTAATTAATACAAAGTGCTCGAGACACACCATGGGGCTGGGGTAATCAAAAATCCAAAAGCAAAACATATATAAGTAATTCAATCAATACATCAAATATTCCCTCTCTATTTCCCTCAAATAGCTTATATATTTAGACTAGTCTATTTCTACCTTAAATTTCTATTAATCCTAAACCTGTTTTAAAGCTTTGTACAATTACAAGACCATAATTAAATTTGACTTCAAATACACACATTATCAGTTCAGGTATCCCTTCTAAATATGTCCTAATTCTTTAATTTCATCATAAATCTTATTTATTTCTTCTTCCAGAAGTATCTCCCAATTAAAATAAAAATTAATCTATCCTATACATATCCAATCCATCAATCCATCAATTTTTTTTGTTAACAAAATAATAACAACCTTAAATCATTTGAGTCCCTTAAACAAGGTTCTGTTTTCATCCAATTAAATTATCAAACCTAATGTCATCCATATTATCAGAGAGAACACATCGTCTTATTAAAATCACATTCAATTAATTATTAATTCAATCCCAATCTAAAACATCTCTTCATTTTTCTTCATTCCATTATATAGTAATTTTCATACATTAATCACCCATTTTCTCTTATTTCTATTCAAAAACTTAATCCTTAACTCAGTTCTAAAATGCCTTATATCCAATATATATAATTTTAAATTTCTCTTTTCAGTCTTATTCTAGGCTTTTTTTTCCTGCCAAGCAGGTTTCCACAACAACGCTTCCCTTCCAACCGGTAAATCTCTCTTTGTTGCTTGTGATGTTATTTGAGGCAGTAATAAGCTTCCTATCATCTGGATTGGACCTCCATTTCTCTTATTCTTGAAGCCTCACTGCATTAAAGGTTCAAATCTCAATCTTTGTTTTTTTCTGGTCCTCACAACTGTAGATAAGATGCTTGTAGGATGAAATGAGTTCCTCTGTATCCTCAATGAAGTCCTCTTTTAGTGTATTTTGGTTTATAGAGTAGTCCGGTGTAATCTGAAAGACACTTTTAAAATTCAGAGAAGAATCTCTGATTCTTATTTCTGTGGTGATCTCTTTCATTGTAACAAATTCCTCTTTAATTTCCTTTAATTCCTCTTCTGGTATCTTTTGGTTTCTAGCATAAACAGCTGTAATCTGAAGGTCAGTTTGAAAGTTTGGGGTAGCATTGACTCTTCGTTCTGTAGCAATCCTTTTCCTTATAGCACATATTTCTTCAGAAACCTCGTAAATCTTTTCCAGTGTAAGCTTTCAATTTAAATGAGGATGGAGTTTCTCCATTTTAAAAGTAATCAAAAAAAGTCTTTTCATTATTATTATTATTATTATTATTATTATTATTATTATTATTATTATTATTTAATGAAGGCTGTAATTAAACAGTGTCTACCCCCTTAGTTCCCACAGCTGCACCAGCTTCTCTCTTCCAGGAATATTTTGAAGGTCAGGTTTCTATGCAAAGAATAGTTGCAACGTTAACTTTTCACCACTAGACGTCCTCAGTAAATAAAAGGGGCTTTCCTGAACACCTTTTCTCAGCAGGATGATATAGAATCCACCGGATGGGTTATTACAGCCTTCCTGCCCAGTAGACTAGGTCAGAACTTTGGCCACACCCCTCCTTTGGGTGTGACTCCAGTTTTGACGAGACGAAGCAGTTCTGAATTCCACGTAGTGGCTCCTTTTGTTAATCACCTGCCTAGACTATTCGTATGGGGGTATGGGTTCTACATCATCCTGCTGAGAAAAGGCGTTCAGGTAAGACAACGCCCCTTCTCCAGCAGGATGGCTGTAGAATCCACCGGATGGGACATACCAAAGGCCTTATGTCCCCTCGGGAGGGAGAGTCTAGGCTAGTGGACAACCTGTTGGAGTACACGTCTGCCAAACGCAGCATCAGCTGCCACAAAGGAATCTACGCGGTAATGTCTGACAAAAGCCGAGGGAGAAGACCATGTTGCAGCTCTGCAAATCTCTTCCACCAAGGCCTGTGTGACCCACGCGGCCGACGCAGCAGCGCTGCGTGTTGAATGAGCCGTAACGTGTGAAGGAACGGGGATTGACTAAGAATAGGCTTGAGTTATACAAGCCCTAATCCACCTACCTATAGTTGAAGAGGAAACTTTCTTCCCCATAGACGAGGGTTGGAAGGATACAAATAGGGCCTCCGACTTATGGAAGGATGAAGTACGTTTCACATAGTAACACAGAGCCCTGCATACGTCTAACTTGTGCCACTGACGTTCCAACCTGTGCTTGGGGTTGGGACAGAAATTGGGGAGGATTAGCTCCTGAGATCTGTGAAAGATAGTGTTAACCTTTGGAATGAACGAGGGCTCCGGTCTAAGGACCACCCTTTCCTCGAAGAAGGTGCATAGATCCCCCCTGACTGACAGCGCAGCTAATTCCAAGATCCTTCTAGCTGAGGTAATAGCCACTAGAAAAGCTACTTTTAGAGACAAGTAGTGGAGAGAACATGAACTGAGAGGTTCAAATGGGGATGATGTCAAGGCCTGCAGCACCTTGGTTAAATCCCAAGAAGGATAACAATGCACTACAGGAGGTCTGGTATTGACCGCTCCTTTTAGAAAGGAACTGATTGTCAGATGTTGTGACAAGGGACTGGAATTGTCGCAGGAAAGGACCGTTGAGAGGGTTGCTAGTTGCCTGCGGATAGTATTGGATGACAAACCTTTATTCAAGCCTTCCAACAAATAATCTAGGATATTAGGAATAGTAACCGAGAGTGGTTCTAACTTATGTATAGAACATCACTTGAAGAATCCTCTCCATGTGGCGTCGTAGATCCTGTTCGTCGAAGGACGTCTCGATGCTTGAATCATCAAGATCACCCCGGAAGAGTAGGATTGCCTGGTTAAAGTTTCCCGCTCAAGTGCCAAATGGCTAGTTGTAGCCACTATAGGTCTGGATGTAGAAGTTTGACCTGGCTGAGGAGTATTTGCCCAATTTTGGAAAAATGAAAATCTACCACCAGATCAGATTATGATTATGAAAATTTTAGAATGTGCAGAAATAAGTAATAGTAATATTAGTAAAGTTGGAAGGGACCTTGGAGGTCATCTAGTCCAACCCCCTGCTCAGGCAGGAAACCCTACACCATTTCGGACAAATGGCTGTCCAGTCTCTTCTTAAAAACTTTCAGTGTTGGAGCATTTACTGCTTCTGGAGGCAGGCTGTTCCACTGAATAATTGTTCTCACTGTCAGGAAGTTTCTCCTTAGTTCTAGGTTGCTTCTCTCCTTGATTAGTTTCCGCCCGTTGCTTCTCTGACAGACTAACTTTAGAGATTAAAGAGAAATACGATTCAGTTTATTTAAAACATGGGAAAAATTCTATCAATGGTTAGCTTCAAAAAATGAGAATGGATTGTGAAACTTAATAGGATGAAGGATATTTATTGACTAGACTTTACTTTCATGATTATTGTTATTGTTAGCAACTATGATTACTTAGTATTATATTAATTATTGCTACTTAAGATGAATGATACTTACTACCATATATGCCGGCGTACAAGGCGACCCGACATATAAGACGACCCCCATCTTTGTCGCTGAGCCGCATTCCTAAAACATCGTCTTATACGCCGAAAACTACCAGTATTTCCGGTGTATAAGACAACTCGGCGTATAAGACGACCCCCGTCTTTGGCACCGAATTTAGCACTTGCGGAAGTCGTCTTATACGCCGGCATATACGGTAACTTTTCTTTTTTATGATTATTGTCATTCTTGATGACTATAATTGTTTAGTATCATATTAACTAAGGTTATTTAATATTGTAAAGCTAACAAGATGAATGATATTTATTGACTAAGCTTTATTTTTATGACTATTGTTATTTTTTTTATTGAAAATTTTTAGATATTTTTACAAAAAGCAAGAAAAAAAAAAAAACCCCTAACCCACCCACCCCAACCCTCCCTCTCCATCCCCCCCGATCTTCCCAGAGCTGAATATAGGCTTAATTAAATTTTTTAAGAATCTTAAAAAAATTGAAAAAATATAAATCATAAATATATCTAAATATCTTACATAAACAATTTATAAAGTAATTAACAATAAAATATATGTAAAAAAACATACATATTAAAAGGGAAAAGTACTTGAAAGAAAAAGAGATAATAAAAAAGAAAAAAGAGAGAAAGAAGAAAAGAGATATAAAAAAGTACAATCTATAGAATATTAAAATTTATATACAAATTATTAGAAAGCTAAATGATATTTTTTATATCCAATTTATATTGTATAAAATTTATCCATTTTTCCCATACCGCAAAGAATTTCTCTTGCGATTGCTCCTTTAAGAAAGCCGAAATCTTTGCCATTTCCGCCAAATAAGAAACTTTAAAAAACCACTCTTGCAAGGTAGGCAAAGATTCCTTCTTCCAATATTGCCCTACTAACAGCCTAGCGGCCGTAATCAAATTTAACATCAATATAACTTCCTTAGCATCACAATCAGTAACAATACTTAACAAAAACAATTGTGGGGTAAATTTTACCCTCTTTCTAAAAATTCTTTGAATATTCCACCATATCTTAATCCAAAAGACTTTTATATTTTTACACTGACTATGACTATTGTTATTGTTAGTGATTATAATTATTCAGTACTATAGTAACTATTTATTTAGTAGGATAAATAACACTAATTGACTAACTTTTATTTCTTATGATTACGATTATTTTTGGTGATTATAATATTTTAGTATTATTTTAATTACCGTTATTTAACATTTGTACCCTGATGACAGTCTACTTGCTAAAGCGATGAATTACTGTTGGGGGTAACACCACTATTGTATCTTTCCCTACTCTTATCCCAACCTCACTCCCCAACCCCATCCAACAAGCTTACCGATCTTATCCCTTTCCCACCCTTATAAAATCTAATAAAATATTTTTTTAAAAAAGATGTTTTTTCACTACCGTGACAGCTTCATTTGTTGGGATGCAAGTAAAGAGTGAAGTCACATCATAGGAAACCATGGTTTCACCCGCATCCAGTTTTATTTTCCAAATCATGCTGGCGAAGTTGTGTGAATTATTGATGTGATTAGTGGTGTTACCAACTAGAGGAGCTTGTATAGTAGTTAGATATTTTACAATGTTGTAGGTGACTGAGTTGATGCTGCTAACAATTGGTTGAGTGGTGTTCCTTCTTTGTGGATTTTGGGGAATCCATATATGCATGGTGTGGCTTCCCCAGGGTAAAGACAGTAGTATTGTGGCTGTGTCTCTCAACAGAGGGGAAGGGATCTGACATCATTTATCTCCAGTCTACAACACAGGTCTTTCAACAATTCCAAGAAGGCTTCACACCCATTTGCAATACTCAGGTGACTCTGAAGACACAGATAAGCCTCCAGGTAGCTTTCACGACTCGCTAAAAGAATGCAAATGAACAGCTATCTGCAGGAATATAAATCTTTCCATTCCCCACCATCCAGTCAGAGCAGAAGAAGCTTCTTGGATGAGAAGCAAAACATCTTCAAAGGAAAACAACAACAGTTGCCTTGTGGAAAAGCATCTTTGGGCTAACTATGACCTGGATGACTGAAAATCGCCATAGACATTTTTCCAAGGTTGATAAAATGAGGACCCAGATTGTTGGGGGCAATATGCTGACTCTGTAAACAGCTTAGAGAGGGCTGTAAAGCACTCTGAAGTGATATATAAATCTAAGCGCTATTGCTATTTTATTCTTTAAAAAAATCCCTTCAACACGAGATTTTGCAGCAATAATAATAAACAAAAGGCAGCTTTACTTAGAACAGTTTACATCCTGTCATGATACCTTTAATACAATCAAACAATAACATCTGCATATCCCAGATCATTGGAAAGGACTCAATAAGTGGATAAAAATGCCAAATCCAGTCTAAACATTTGGCTGACTATATGGTCAACTATAATAATGTAATACTAAAACCGGAAAAAGTTCTATGAACCAAAAAAGTTCCAGTCCAGATTCACTGCACACTATTAATATCAAAATATTGTTAGAAAAAATAAACATACAAGGCAGTCCTCAATTTATGATCATGGATTACAGTTGTAATTGCAGCAGTCATTAAGTAAAACACTCATGAGATTGCCTCACTTAACAACCACAATCCTGGCTCTCCTTACTGTAGTCAAGGGATGAGGGAAGCACTGGGAGGCCTGGCACAGGCCCATACTGCAGAACTTCCACAGTTCAAGTGTGCCCCAGATCTGTGGAAATTGCCTTCCAGAAAGAAAAGTAGCTGA